AAACCAGTTTTACTTTAGAGGCAAGGTTCTCTGGCAGTTTTGTCCTTAGCTGACTTGTCTCTTTGAATGTTGCTGGAAATCCACTAACAAAGGCCAAGTCTTGCATCAACACTAACCCAGGAACTTCTTTGTCTGTAGTCTATAACAAGAAAAACGCAAGTTCAAGTTGGGCTTTAAAAAAAAATCAGCAGTAACTAATAATTCTTAATGCAGTGGTTCGCAACCTTTTTAAACTCAAAGCACTCCTAATAGTTTTAACTATGGAAAAATTATAGAGCAGTTCTTCTGTTGCAAAGAACTCAGAAAGACCACAACAGGGCAGAATATTTCTGACACTAGAGATTACTATTTGAAATCTCTGGATTTATCTTGTGAATCATGTGTAGGTGTCTGTATACCTAACAGTGCTAAATACTGGATGGCACGCCACAACACACTTAAAAGAATTTCATACCACCCTATCTTAAGCTTTCTGCAGATTTGTGAGTTAATGATGTATTTTGTCACATAACCCAAAACCTCAAAGCTAGAATATGGGTTTATTTTGAAAAATCTTGTACTGGTTATTACACAAATTAAGAAAATGGTGCAAACAAATACTAAAAAAAAAAGTAAAAATACAGTAGTTAAATGTATTATTATATCTAAACAGCCCAATGAACAGATTTATATAGCTAATTTAAGTGTTAAATTAACATACCAAATAACCCCTCCATACTGTCTGTTTACTGCTTTCTTTTAACATTCCTGAATGAGCATCTTCAGCTGGAATAAATAAATATATCCAAATTAAAAATCAGTGGGAACCTTCTGGAACAATCTTTTAATTCAGTTTTTGCAAACTTAAGCTCAAGACATTAAAAAAGAAAAAGAATGGTCACTAAGCCAAGTGTTGTCTGTATTACTACAGTATTTACTAGGTGATGACAGTGGTTTGGCACTACATATAAAAATAAACAAAGGTGAAGTGTCTACTCTACAAATCTGTTACATAAATAATGAATGCACAGGCCTTGTTTGTTTTAAGGCACGTAATAATCAGGGATCCAGATTTTCTGTTAGACAAGAAAAAAATGTAGATTTTATGCTTTAGCAGAGAAAAACATGAATTTTCCCCTTTAAAGGGGAAACCTCAGGTTTCTCCTTGCAGGCTGGCAGAGTTCCAGCCTACAAGGGGTTGTTTGGGGCTGGGGAGAGCAAGACACAGGGAGCAGGAGACACGACATGCATGTGCGCACGCATACATGCACATAGCAGCCAGGCAGGGGGATGGAGAACAGCTCCCACAGCTCCCCCCAGGAAAGTTTGTGCCCCCAGATAAGTCTACGGGGGTGGGGAGTGGGGCCACAGGTGACACAATGGGGGGGCAGGGGACCACAGACAATATACCAGGGGAGCACATGCCCCCCCAAGATTTGTGTGCCCACAGGAGGGCACGGGTGTGTGTGTGTGTGTGTGTGTGTGTGTGTGTGTGTGTGTGTGTGTGTGTGTGTGTGTGTGTGTGTGTGTGTGTGTGTGTGTGTGTGTGTGTGTGTGTGTGTGTGAGGGAGAGAGAGAGAGAGAGAGAGAGAGAGATTTTAATCATGGGAAAACGTGGATTTTGGCATGCATAAACAGCATTAGGAGTAGGAGCCAGAACCCAGGACTTCCTTCCTCGTGATCACAGAGGAACACCCCCTCACTGGGCTATAGAACTAGACTCCCTCTTGCATTCCTGTCCATTTGGTGGCCCAGCTTCAAAAGAAGGGATACAGGCTAATACCATCAACCTTCCCTATCCCAAAGCCTATTAGTTATTGGAAGAGGGAGATGTGGTTCAAACCTCTTCCAGCTAAGTGGGGCCTAGAACTCAGATGTCTTACTTCCTGGGTGAGTGCCCTAACCCATAAGTTACCAGACAGAAGGTGGGCAGCATGACCTTCACTGTCACCCTGACCCTTGCTTTACACACTGAATTCAGTGTTTTTCCTTAAGTAGCTATCTCCTGAGTGAGCTAGATCCCAGCATAATGGAGGCACATAAGATTGCCCACTGAGAGAATGGGAATGCTATGGGTGGAACAGGGAAGCCTTCTTGGAAGCTGCCCACTGCCTAGTGCCTGAATGAGAGAGTTATACATTTTCAAGTCCCTGGTGCAGTTCAGGTGGACTCCTAAAACAAGAAGTTTACTTTTGGGGTTAGATGAGGCAAAGACATTCTTTGAGGCAGAATAGGGTTAAGACCTTAAACAGCATAAAGTACCATTTGTTTACTGCATCACTAACTGTGATATATGTATTCTCCAGACAGTCAAGGAGAAACAGTCCAGCTTTCAGGATGGAAATAATGCTATAACAAAGAACTAATCCTTTAAGGGATCTACAGGCTCAACATAGGCTGTTTCTAATTTCAGTCAGGAATGGAGGTTGGAAGAGCAAGGAATCAATACATATGGTCAGCTAGGGACAAACTGAACCAGTGTGAGTCTGATCAGCAAAGGAGACAGAGGTCACTCATGCATGACTGTGTAGGCACAGCTCTGTGCAGAGGCCTAAAGACCTAAGGGACAAGACACTGTATGGATTAAGGCACAAGGTCACCCTGTGACCCTAACTCCATGGAAAGACTGCTTTTCATTCTTGAAGGTTGAAAAAACACATAGGTTCTTACCTTCCTTAGGAGTGTCAAAAACAATTACTGTCACATTGGTAGAAGGATTTTTTGGTTTTGCTACAAAGAATAGAGAGTTAGCAGCTTGTAAATTAGGATGGACAGATGCAAGGTCTTTTAGAGTGATGATGGCAGGCAGAGCAGGGTCCAGCACAAGCATCGGCACTTTAATGCAACGCGTCAGTAAACACTCCAGGTGCTTCTCACTGGAATAAAAAATCAAGTGTAAATTTAATGCCAGTGAAAATTAACATTTGGCAAACTCTGTGTTAGCGGGATTTTGCTGAATGCTGACCATACTTTTGAAAAATCTAATTGATGCTGCAACTGCAAACAGTTTACTATTTCTATGTATGCAGGAGGTGTTTTGCTACAAAGAAAAAAACCTGCTGCTACCACTTAAATCATTCACATTATTGATAATTTCATCTCTTTACCCTTTGGCCCCAACTCTTCCCTGCTTCTTTCTCCTTGCAAAATATTCCATATTTACTGAAGGACTTGAAGGGACTCTGTTTTGGCTCAGCTGAATGCTTAGGGACAGGGTGGATTAAAAAAAAATAATAGTTCTTTTTTTTTTTTAATCAGGTTAATTTAAAATCAGAATTATTTTATTTAAAATTTAATGTTTTTGATGTTTTTATTTAAATTATAATTAAAGCTTTTCCTAAAAATACACCAGTTTAAGATGAAATTTGAATTTAATACAGCATAAGCTATGGCGCACAGTTAATATAATCTATTAAAATAATTTAAATAAAGTATGTTGAGTCAATGAGCCTCTACTAAAAACTCTGGAGTTAAAGGCTAATTTTCTTCTGTATAAAAATGAGGGGAAAGAGATCTAACTTTTGAGGCGACACAATATTTCACATATTAGGGACTTGGCCACACAAGAGATGCAGGGTTTACACTACTGGATACAAAGGAGCTGCAAAGTCATCCCATATGACCTCAGTGACCTGACTCCAGCAGATACCATTAGGTGTACTCCTTGATCAGGGCTATCCACGGAGCCCAACTGGATGGTATCTAACTCCTGTTTTATTATCTTTACCTAAGCTCTGATTACCTCAGCTATCAAATTCTGAATATTTATGATTCTGCACCCATAATGAAGGCTTATTCTCCAGGTCATAGAAAAACAACCATCTACTCAATAACTACCAACCCTTGCTTCTGAATGATTCTGGGTATTTTGGTTAAATGGCCTTTCTTGGTCCTTTTGCATAGTACACAAAGATATGTAAAAATTATCCTCTCAAGTACTCTATCCATGTCTTTAACAGGAGGCCAAGGGGTTACAACTGCAGAAATGATGGATTGTTAAGGGGATGGTTTTATTTTGTTTTATTTTGCAAGGAAGAGGGTGCAATGGGTGAGGGGTGAGAAAGATCTTGTTTTGTGGTTAATTTGCTGTGTGGAAGAGGAAGAGAAGCTGAGTAAGGAGCAGTGTATATGACAGAAACGAACAACACTGAGCTCAGGACAGCATAGGAAAGAAGAACATTGTGTGGAGTACACACTAGTCTTGATTTCATCACTTGGAAACTGGAGGGAAAAACAGCCATGGCTGTAGATGGCAAAAAAGGCCCTATTTGGGAATATTTAAAAAAAAATTCTTGTGCTACTGGGAAAAAGAGAAACACATGCCAAATGTAAACAGGGCAACAAAGAGAGGCAAGGTCTGGTAGCCCAAATAAAGCAACATACTACTGTAGAGTCTCCCTTACTTACCTTTGGTTCCCCCCCCTGCTTTTTTCCCCCTTCCCTTCCCTGCTCCACCTTTTGTTTTCCTAATGTCCATGTATTTACATCCTCACTGACTTTCAGCTTCGTTCATTCCTTGGAGTCTTAGAACAGCAGAGACCTCCTATGCTTGAAGAAAGGTGATTGCACCCAAAACCTCGCAAAGAATTTTTTTCCACCTACTCAGTTGGCCTAATAAAAGATACCACATCTACCCAAAGGACCTTGTCTGCTTACGTCCTTAGACCAACACGGCTACAACCAGAATCTCAGAAGGCAAAAAACTTGAAGATGGCGATGTGAACATGTCTGGGCCATCTGGATCAATTGGTCAGGAAACTTACTATTTTTGAACCATTTTTATAAGATTGCCTACCATACAATGCAATGCTAATAAAAGATCAATTTATGACAATAATGTTGAGTGGATTACTTATGAATTTCAAAACGTTTGTGTTAAAATCTAATGTATGTACTAGTTTGTGGGAGTATTTGTCAGTTACACATTTTAAATATTATCCCCGCATTTCTGAAATGAGTTTGCTCTGTGTAAGCAAATATACAAGCCGTAGGTAAAGATAATCTGTGCAGAATTAAATTTTTAAAGGAATTTATGAACTTAAAAATTAAAATGTAAACATTTCTTAAGTTATTTTATATTGATAAATAAAAGGGTTTAAATAGAAGAAGGGACCTTTATAATATATTGAATATTTTCCCTATAGAACCAGGTTTGGAAAAACTGTATCATTCAAACACTGGTTAAAAATAATCTGCTGTAGGAGGGCTCTTCTGTTTTACAATCTCATTTTCTTTTTTAAGTAATGCATTAACTAATACTCAGAATGAGTGACTTTTTAACTATTTTGTTTTAGGGTTCATTTAGGCGTAAAAAATTATAAATGTCCATCATCTGGAACATCTGCAACTTCAGAATCATCTACTGGTATCACCAACGGTACTTCACTACATATCCCTCAGACAGAGGTTTACCTGTATTCAAGAAGAGACTTTCTTCATTATCAAGTAAAACTATGGATGAGTTCATAATCAGGACCAGCAAAGTCCAGCAAAACACCATAGATGTAAAGATTGCTCTGTTCATTTACACAATAAAATCTCTCTTTTGTCTTGTTCAGAACAAACATTTCACTGGCATGGTTCAATCATTACGACCAGGTTACACTTCACCAAGCAAAACAGATATTACCAGAAGGCTTCTGAATACAGGGTATGAGAAGAAAATTGAACAGTGTGCAAAAAATATTGAAAATAAAAGTGTTAATCTGAGTCTTGATGGATGGTGCAGCGTACACAATGATCCAGTAATGGGATAGTGTGAAAACAGAAGAGACAGGATTGTCTCTCAGAAATGCCCATACTGCAGAATATTTTATAAAAGTAGCAGTAAAAGTTATAACAAACTGTGAGATAATGCTTCAAAGGTACCAAAGATGAGAAGAAACTGAGAAGATAACAAAGCAAACCTGAAGCTTACAACATAGGGATGCACTGCCCTTTTGATGCATCCTTTCAGGGAAATATTCAAGTACTCCAGGAATAAAGGAAAATGTTGTTGAACTTGCAAAATACTTTCAGAACAACTAGTTTGCTTCAGGTTCACTGCAGAGAGCTGGGGGATCCAAGCTAGTTCTCCCCCAAAATATACAATGGAATTCAGTGGTTGAGTGCTTTGACCAATTTATTAAGAACTGGCCTATTCTGATGCCAATCTGTGAAGAAAATTGTGACAAAATTGATGGAAGTATCACAGCTAAACAGTCAACCTTGGACTGCAGAGAAATGTAAAAGATATGCTGAATACACTAAAATTTAAAACATATTTCCATAGCCTTGGACAAACTACAGAAAGATTGCAGCTGTATTGCGGCTCCTGTTGAAATTTGGAAAGAACTTCAAGAACCATTAAAGCAGTAAAATACTAAGCAGTAAAGAAGCAGACGGATCAACCACTTATTCTACCTCATTTTCTTTCCAATATTCTTAACACAACACTCCAGGGTAGATGCCCAACTGCCGAACAGGAAAATGCTGCTATGACATGGCCATCAACTCATCAACAGGGATCCGGGTTTTCCATTTCCCACAGAAAAACGGAGAAAATTACAGATTTCCTGGGTTTATCAGAGAAAATGCAGATTTTCTCATTTAGCAGAGAACCCCATGCATTTCCCCCTTTTGCAAAGAGATCTGAAGGCTGGCTGAGTTCCAGCCTGCAAGAGCTGCGTGTAAAAAGAGCAGGAAAGCCCCAACCCTGCCCGGAGGGGCAGGGGGAGGGAGAGGCGGAGGGGGAAGGGCAGAACCTGCAGCTATTAGTCAGTTGCAAGGCCTAGGTCAGGCTCGCTTTCTTCCCGGAGCCTGTGAACTGGTAAGTAGGGCTTTCAGGGGGCTGAGGGGTTGTGGGGCAGGGCTGGGGTGGAAGCTGGTAGGGGGCTGAGGAAGCAGGGAGGTGTTGGGGAAATACACAGAGTGCCTAGCCAGCGCCTCCATGTGCGGCTTCCCTTAAGGGTTGCTAGAGCAGCTTAGGTTTCACATGCTGGGCACTCCAGCCATGAGTGGCAAGATGTGGAGCCAGCCAGGCACTCCAGCCATGAGCAGGGAGGTGTTGGGGAAATACACGGAGTGCCCAGCCAGCTCCACATCTCCCTGCTCATGGCCAGAGTGCCTGACTGGGGACAGGTGAAACTGAAGTGGCTTTAGCAGCTCTTAAGGAAAGCCACACATGGAGGCGTCAACCAGGAGCGGAGAGACGTGGAGCCAGTGAGGCACTCAGTGTTTTTTAATCTAAGGGGGCAAAAGAGACCCATGCCCCCAGATCTGTATGAGGGGCAGGCTGTGGGCTTGAGCTCCTTTTTAAGAGAAACATCCTTTTTAAGAGAGGACATTCTTAGCAGGGCAAGCTCAAGTCAGGACTGACATTTTCACATAAGCATATTATAAAGCAGTTAGAATAAAATCTCACACATCCCTGCTACACTTAAATCTGATTTTTGTCTGGCTGCAGAAAGGAATTATTGTGGTAGTCTTTTCATGGGTCCTGAGATTTACAATCAAGTGGGACATAGAAACTGCAATGTTTCGAATGCATAGCATGTATAGTTGCCTACTGAGCTGCCACATCTACGTGATACCAGGCATGTAAACAATAATTTTAAAGAATCTGAAATATTTTGTGCATGACAATAGACAAGTAGCTTCTAAACTTCATTCATTTTTACAGTTTTAAAGTGAACCCATTTTCCATGAGATTCCCATTATCTTTGTTCAATATAAAGATCTTGTTTTTTAACTTTTTTGAAAAGATACAAATGTCAAATATGAACAGGTCACAGCAGACCAATGTAGGTCCCATCATCTAAACTTGATTCCCACCAAAGACCTAACTCATCTCTTATTTTGACTTAAACATTCAGGGCCAAAAAAAAAGGTTACCTTTTTTTAGTTGGTTCCGTTGCATTCTTTCCAAGGATTTCTCTGCAGAAAAATCAAGTGACAACTTTAAATTTATCTTAAGTCAGAAATAAAGAGTTTGGGTTGAATGTTGATATAGCTATTTCTGGCTATGGAATGTTTTCCATAATAAAACACACCACTGTCATTATTCCAACAGATGTGAAAGAAAAGTTATTTCTTTATTCAGATCTTTATAAATAAGGACATGAAAAGGACAATGGTGAAAGGACTTCACCTCAAACTTTGCTACATATTTCCTATACTAGCTTCAATAAAGCACTCAGTTTATATGTGGAAATAGTTACACCTATAAAATGGAAATAGTTACACCTTTACATAACAGAATTACCTTCATAATATGTTAATGTTCATTAGCATTTGTAAAAACTAATTATTGAGAAGCACAGATTAATAAATAACTTGTTAGAGCGGATACTGTATCTATACATTGAAAGCAGTGTGTGTGTGTGTGTGTGTGTGTGTGTGTGTGTGTGTGTGTGTGCGCGCGCGCGCTAATTAGCATTAGTCAATACTTAATTGCTTTGAAGTAGCATTGAGAAATGAATTTTAAGAGAGAGCCATGTACGGGAACAAGGAAATGAAGACAACAAAAACACACACACAAATAACAGCAGCAACAATATCAATAATACATAAAAATGAAAATGCCAACCTGATTTCCCTGTTTCAGTTCAACTCAAAGCTACCAATCTAGCTGCTTCTAAAGTTAGAATATCAACTCATCTTTTGCACACTTTTAAAAAAATCTATCATGACATTAAATAAGCAAACAAGGTTATTCTGTGTTTGAAAAGTGGAACATGTGACAAGCCAAGAGGGATACTTATCAAGAACTGAATCAATTGTTCAAGAACACCATCCAAGTGCCTCAACACTTGAGGCAGCATGGGTTTGCTAAACAGCATGTCACCTAGAGAGTTAAGTCTCTGCTTGGTAATTCTGCAGCACAGTAAAGCTAAAACAGGTGGATTCGGAACAAGTTAATACTTGAAACATACCAAACTGAATTTTGCAAACTCATCTAAATTCAGGATCAAGTTCAATGAGTGGTTTCTTTTTCCGCCCAGTTTTAGCTTTTCTGATCATTAAAATGTAACTTAAAGAAGAGAAAACTCAAAGTAACACAGATTTTAATAAAAGATTTTACCAAGTCATGGTTAAATAGAGAAATGTGTTAATTTATTTATTATATTCGTATGCCACCCTTCCCCATAAAAGGCCCAGGGGACCAGAAATAAAAGACAAACACAGGATAAAATATTAAAATAAGGTAGGAATAACAAACTAAACTCACTGACATTAGTCAATACTTCATTAATGGAAGTAGCATTGAGAAATTCATTTTAAAATAAGGACACTTATGGGAACAAGGAAATGAAACTAACAAATAATCTGTTCGACTCATGCAAAACAACATGGGGAAAAGGGAAATAAAGGGACAGTATCCTGTTATCATTACTGCAGGCAACTTAAAGAAAAAAAAAGAATTCTGCTTCCACTTAAGATTCTTACCTCATTATTTTTTGTTCTTCTTCCATCTGTTCCCTGACTTGTTGCAATTCTTTGATCAGCTCGATATCTGTGCCATTCACCCAGGTGTATACCACATCAATCGGCATGGGCAAACACAGCCTACATAAAGCAAATGAAAGCTGCATAACCTGTTTAGGATTATTTCTACAATGTTTGAAAGTAGCATAGATTAAACTGTGCCAAAGAAAGCCATCTGCTGGGCATGGATTATCCATTATAAATAGAGGTCTACTGAATTCAAGAAGGCCGGCTGAGTATGAGAGCAGATCCCGGGGCTGGCCGCCATTTTCATGGGATGAGTGCAGTGGGTCCCCCATGTCCCTGATTGGCCCTAGCTATCTTACCCCTCCTTGGAGATTGCCACATGGTCTAAAACCATGGCTTAATTAGCCTATTGCCATTTCAGTAGATCCCTAGTTATAAACCAGACAAAAAAAATGTTGCACCTTAATTATTATCTCCTAATTATACAATCAGTCACCAGCAGCAGAGGGAAAGTGTCCCACCTCCTGAAGTTCCTTCAAACTGAAAACTTCTAAAACTTCTAAAGCCAGGATAATTCAAGACTACTTTCTTAAATTACAGATTATGTTAAAATACCACCAAGGGAAAAAACAAATTATCCTACTATAGAGGATGTTAAACTACACCTTGTAAACCCAAGCGCTTGAATGTCTATTTCCATTTTTTATTCTGGATGGTCCATTTGTTTCCATCATGCATGAAAACTGTAGAAGCATTACTCAGAAAAAAGGAGATTTTCAGGAAACCACAAGTTTCCCATTCTTCCTTGCATTATGGTCCACAAAGCCAGTAAGTTTTACAACAGTGTCCCCACAAAGGGGATCATGCTGTAAACATGTATATTCAAAACCAGGCATATACTATATATCAATATCTCTTCTATTTCCCGCCAAGCAAGAAGACATCAGGAACTTTCTACCCCTCCCCATGTTCCCTGCCCCCCAAAAAGGCAATAGCACTGGCCTAAGGCTGGACAACTAATATGCAGTATTTGATGAAGAAATGGAGACCTAGCAAATCTTAACGTGAGACACAATTACTCAACTTTAAGACTGTCAGTGCTTGTGAGAGCTTATCAGAACCGTTCAATAAAGTTCTGTTCTGCATTTGGAAAGAAGCAGAATGATGTACTAAATCTAGTAATATGTAAGTATGTGGAACCCAACCTTTGTATCATATATTCTCAAATGTAAGATGACCCTGAATACAAGACAAACCCCAATAGTTGGATTCTATATAAGGATAAATGTATAAATTTGTTATAATTTTCCAGGTTTTAAGCCTAACTATTAGAAGTTTGTCCTGAATTTGTCCCCTTTGTCACTGCTACAGCAGGGAAAATAAATCTAGGGGGGCAGGTAGACCCTGGCCCTCTGCCCCCCATCCCCCAACTTCATCACCCTGCAGCCCCTTCCCCACCATCCTCACCGTCAGACCCTGGTCTCCCTGAGCATATGGAAGTGAGGAGCAAATATGAAAACAATGACCTTGAAATAAGCATAGCTATCAATCTGCATATAGCACCCATAGATTTAGTTCATGCAGAATTGGTGCAATTTGCCTTTTTTAAACTGCTGCAAGTTTTAGCATAGGTACTCTATAAGCACACTTTTAAGTGCACTTTGGCACCTGCTTATATATAGTACAAATTAAGCATGATATTAATCCAAAACCAAAAGGCTCGTGATTTACCATATAGCCTACTGGGCTGGGCCCCAGCAGAGTCAATAGCATTTCAAGCCATGGTGGTTCCACATCTCAACACTGCTCAGTATTTGTGTGTACTCCAGATACCTCCCCCTGAAAAGGATTCATGTGCTAATTAGCAACACAATTCCTGCAACCTGGTCATAAATCCTGTGATCCTCCAAAAATTTATATGCAGATGAGGCATAGGGCAACCTGGTCTGGCTTCATCTTATGAAGGGCAGGGCCACAATAATCACAGAATCTTAGAATCATAAAAAGATTAGGGCCGGAAGGGACCTCAGGAGGTAATTTCATCCAACTCCCTGCTCAAAGCAGGGCCATCCCCCACTAGATCAATCCAGCCAGGGCTTTGTCAAGCAGGCCCTTAAAAACCTCCAAGGATGCAGATTCCACCACCTCTCTGGGTAACCTGTTCCAGCACTTCACCACCCTCCTAGACAGAAAGTTTGTCCTAATATTCAATTTAAACCTCCCTTCCTGCAACTTGAGACCACTGCTCCTTGTTCTGTAATCTGTCACTACTGAGAACAGTCCAGCTCCACCCTTTTTGGAACCACCATTTAGGTAGTTGAAGGCTGTTATCAAATCCCCCCTCAGCCTTTTCTTCTGCAGATTAAATAAATCCGGTTCCCTCAGTCTCTCTGCAAAAGTAACATACCCCAAACCCAAAACCATTTTGCATACTCTCTGCTGGACTCTTTCCAACTTATCCTCATCCTCCTTTCTATAGTGGAGAGCCCAAAACTGGGCACAGGTATGGCCTCATTAGTGCAGAACAGAGTGGAATAATTACTTCCCTTAATCTGCCATCAGATCATATGCTACAAGTTTTAGCATAGGTACTCTATAAACACACTTTTAAGCAGCACTTTGGCACCTACTTATATATAGTACAAACTATAAATCATATGCGACACGCTGAGAGGGGGCCCACAGAGGGATTCTGGGTGAACTGTTTGGGGTCCCATTGGAGGATGTCTGCCAGGCATTTAAGGCTGGTGAAGAAACAGGAATCATTGGAAATGGGAAAGAAAAGCACAGCTCACCTGTGGGAGAGAAGAGGAAGTCAAATTGTATGCCATGTCATGGCCCACCATGACCTTAAAAAGAGTTGGCACTGAGGAAGACTGGGCACACTGACCCTCCAACCCCCCCTCTCCTAAAGCAAATGTAACAGTACCCCATGACAACTGTAGCCCCTGCCCTTCAACCCTAGCCTGGGGGCAGCTGCTGCCTGAGCCTGAGGCAGTCCAGTGCTGGGTGGTCCCTGGGCACTTTAATTAGTAGGGGTGCACCAATAGAGATTTTGGGGGCTGACACTAATAGCCAAATTTTAAGGAGGCACGGAGGGAGTGGGGCAGGGACAGGGGCTGGGGCAGGGAGCAGGATGGAGCCCAGGGCTAAGCAGGGCAGGGGATGGAGCTGCAGCTCATCTAGAGGGTGCGGGGGGAGCACATAAGCAGCGAAAAGCACAGCCCACAGCATGGAGAGCTGTGTGCAGCTGGTAAGTCTGTTGTGGTAGAAGGGGGGGCAGGGAGGGAAGTGGCATGGGGTGGGGGCAGATCAATGCCCCTCGCAGTGAGGGAGGGAGTGGGGCAGGCGCTGCCTAGCAGGGGTGGGACAGGGGACAAGGCTGCAGTTCATCTGACGTGTGCAGTTCCTGCTGCTGCACACACCCCTGGAGGGCACGGGAGGGGGTTGCCCCTAGATCTGCATAGAGCAGGGTGGGGTGGGGTGGGCTGCAGCTGCGGGCTGGGGCCAGGGCAGTGCTGGGCTCTTCCCGGTATGTGTGTGTGTTGGAGGGGAGGGGGCAGAGGTTGGGCCAGGGCTGTACTCGGGGCAGGAGGTGGCAGTGCTGGGAGGGGGAGCTATGGCAAATTTTGGGGTGGCTGCAGTGTGCCCCGCCCATAGCCTCCCTCTCAAATTGCTTTTGGTGTGTCCTTCATTTTTAATACTACTGAACATGGACTGGGTACCAACAAGGATAGATGGATTGAAGAAGAAAGAAGTATTATAAAGGGTGTAGGGGACAGTACTGGGCAGCTGATTAATTTCCCCAAGAACATTCACATGAAGTACTGCAGGGCTTTATTCTGTCACTTTTGTTCAATGTCTGTCTTTACTGTAGTCCTACCAGTATGCTCATGAAACTCAGTTCTCCGTCTCAGTTTAATCAAACCTGAATGATTAATTTGCTTTGGTTTTCCTAGTGTGTGATAAGGACTGAGGCTTTAATCAAAGTCACCTGGCTGAAGCTCAGCTAAGACAGACATTATGCTGGAAAGAAAAAAAATCAACACCCCACAAACAGCTGTTCCTTTAACTGTTCCTCCAGTACTACGTACAGCCTAAAAGGTGTCCTTTAGGATTTTCTGCTACTTCCAGGACATTGCAATGATTTCTCTTTGATTTCTGTTTCACCACAGCGATCACTGCCATTGTCACTACACTGCCTTTTACATGAGGCTCCCCTGAAATCAAACACAGAAGGCTCACTGGGGAATACAGCTGGTCACTTGTCACACAAAAAAACTATTGCAGGAGATTATACAAGCTTCTCACCTGTTAACAAATGTAATTCAATGTTGAACACTAGAATTTTCTTCTATTTCTATGCCAAACCTATTAACCTTCTCAGCAGAGTGCAATGCTTATTTAGTCAAGCTTCTTTTGAGAAGCTACACTGATAAAAGAATACCAATCCTGACTCTCTTGGTTATGGGAGATACTCAGTGCTAGGTTCAATTCTGTTAAATTTGGATTATTTTCTACATTGCCATTTATTAATAATATACCATATTAACAAAAAGTATAAGCTGATGATGTGCACTTCTACATTTAAGATATAAAATTACAGTAGTGTTGGTTCAGCCACATCCTGATAATGTTTGAGCTAAAATTAAGCTAAAAAAATTAAGGCTATTTTTTTTTTAGTCAGAGTTATGTCTTCTGATTGGTAAACACAAGTTTATCAAGTTTGATCACTAACAAGGAGTGTGAAACAGTGAGTAGTAGAAATAGAAACCATCTTCACGGAGCAGATCCTCAAGGAATCCATTTCTAAGCACTTGAAGGGAAGAAGGTAATTAAGAACAGTCAGCATGGATTCACTAAGGCCAAGCCATGCCTGACCAACCTGATTGCCTTCTATGACAAGATGACTGGCTCCGTGGGTGCAGAGACCAGTGGATGTGGTATACCTTGATTTTAGCAAGGCTTTTGATATGGTCTCCCACAACATTCTCATAGGAAAGCTAAGGAAGGGCTGGATGAATGGACTGTAACGTGGATAGAAAACTGGCCGGAGCATCAGGCTCAGAATGTTGTAATCAATGGTTCAACGTCTAGTTGGCAGCCAGTACCAA